TGACGAAAGATACCAGACTGCGAGTGGAATGGGAAAAAGCATAGTGAGACAATTAAGAAAGAGAAGTATAATAAACACAAGCAGTCATAATACAACAAGCTGTAAAGGCTATCTAACTCTTGCCGTTTGCTATGGTGACCGGAACAGGGAGTTCAATAATCTTTTAACTATAACAGCCCTCAAATAATGACTAGGTTTCTCTTCTTCTCTTCCCTCTTGGAGTAAACATTGAATCTTAATTCAAGTTATGGATATAATTCATATTATTCGTTGTAAACCTGCGTCAATTTGTCAACCCTTCGTCAACCCTTAAATATCTCAAGAAGTAAAAACTCAGGTTGTTCCGTTCGTGTTTGCTTTAGACCGTGGTCTCCAATCTAAACATTTGAATATGCCGCGCCAAACAGTTTGGTTGCATACCTGTACAGGATCCTTCTTCCATAATCTTTATTCTAGTGTTATTTTCGCAAGCTGCTTTCTTCAACAGACATTCGTTGCCATACGTCACTCCATCCGAGCCACAAACTTGTTTCATTACTCTAGGACATTCCTGGATACATTCGCATTTCTCTTCACTTCTGTTGTTCTTCACACAGCGAGAGAAAGGGACATTACACCTTTCCTTGCATTCTTCAAATACTGGAAGCATTGAAGAGGGTTAAAAATCTACGATCGAGCCTGTCCTTATGGAGGCAATTATTATTCGGACACCTTCAATTTTTAATGTAATGAAATAAGTTGTCAATCATCATCAGTAGCGGTTACCAAGGCAACTGAAGGTTTAAATGTCTCATCATCCGAAACCCCTCGACATACCCCTAGAGATCGGGTATTCAGAAGCTCCGAGGTTCTAATGCGCGTGCGTGAAATCATAAGATCTGTCGTACGTCTTTATTTACGACACCAACTAGTTGTATCTATTATTTACCTGGACATCCTTTCCGGCAGTCATCCTCAGACCAAAAGTTGTTCAGGTTTCCCTTGCATCCTCCATAACTAAACGGTTCACATTGTTTAGTTTCCCTGTTATAAAACCATCTGAGAAATGAAGCTTTACAATTACCAGGCTGTTTGGGCAGATTACAGCGAATGGGTTCTGCAAAAAATTGACGTGCTAAGTTGTTATGATCAATTAAATTCTACCAAATTAGGCATCGACACACACTATGAGAAGTGGGAGGAAAAAACTTAAGAGTCTGTGACATGCTTTTAACTTCACAGTATTAACAACTGTTACCTTCCTGCTCCTTTCGCTCCTGTGAAACCGGTGTCAACATGGATATGTCTTCGGTGCGGCATCCATACAGCTCGACACTCATACACAGCCGACCAACATAAGAGGTAGGATAGAGAAGAACAATTGAAGCATACATGTGAGGCTTCACCCAGTGACGGACGATAGAGGATGGGTCCGTGTTTCCCTTTAACTCCTGAAAAAAAAAACGTAGTGTAGGTGCTGTTGAAAACTGATGATTTAACGTGTAAATGAAGAGCTTTTATCCCATCTTAATTTCTCCACAGCAAAGAAAATATCTTAAAGATTCTACCATTAAGGAAATATGACAGTTTTATCTATTTTTATAGAAAGACGAGAGAAAGTTGCATGTGTTTCGCAGCGAAGAATTTATAAAACGATAATATGACTATAACACCTCCATTTTTTAATGTGCTCTACAAACTTACAAATTGACAGTGGTTTAGCGTGGTCCGTACTTTCATCGACGACGATAATCGTTATCACAGTGGTCAGTTGTGGTACTGAAAAAATTGAGACCTCACCATTAAATTGAAGAATATCGTTGTTGATAAGAAAACGGACCACACTACACCACTGTCAATTTGTTTTTTACCACGATGTATGGGCCAATCATTGGCCCATTAAAGTGTGCCATCATCGGCCCAATATAGTCGGCCATCATCGGCCCAGTGTACTCAGCCATCATTATCCCAGTATAGCCGTTATTGACAAAGTATAATGCACCATCATTGGCCCAATATAGTGTGCCATCATTGGCCCAGTATAGTCGGCCATCATTGGCACAGTGTACTCGGCCACCATTATCCCAGTATAGTCAGCCGTTATTGAAAAGTTTTGAATAGTTTGAGGGCCGCAAAGTTAGGCAGATCGGAAAAACAGTGACTTTTCAATTCTGACAGGTATGCACCATCATTAGCCCAATATAGTGTACCATCATTGGCCTAGTGTAGTCGGCCATCATTGGCCCAGTGAACTCGGCCATCGTTATCCCAGTTTATAGTTCACCATTAAATTTTCTCCGGTTCTTATTGGTTTAAATCGATCACGTGACAGGATAGTGTTCATCCGTAGAGAGACACTATCGCTTATCAGCCCATAGTGCCCGCCCGCGGAAAATACCCGGATGGATAGTACCCGTCCGCGGAAAATACTTGGATTGATGGTACTCATCCGTGAAAAGTTTTGAATAGTTTGAGGGCCGCGAGGTTAGGCAGATCCGAAAAACAGTGACTTTTCAATTCTGACAGGTATAACGTATTATTTAGCCAATGTACGGTTGCGAATTATTGACATTTGTGACAAGCTGTAGGCGCGGAAGAAAATTTAGTGGTGAACTATAAAAACAATAGAGTGTTTATGTCGGGGAACTATCGGCTGATAGTTGCCCCTTAGAAATTTGATGTTCTTAAAACTAATATGAAATATAAATATAGAGGCAAGACCGATACAACGTAGATAAGTGAATTTTAAGACGGAGCACTATATTTCGGCTGGCCAAACCAGCCGTCTTCAGGTGCAGTGGGAATTAACAGAGAATTGGGGTGATGCTTCATAGATAGCTGCATGATGTAACAGCAGAAATATGTAAAACTAATTTGATTGACAATGAGATAACAATAAAAATAGAAATAGTGAGCAAAAATGGAAATGAAGTAAGGTAAATTGGATAAATAACTAGAAACTAATACATTTCTTCGCGAGCGTTAAGGCCATCTGGACAAATAGTGTTGCCTCTTGAAATTAAAAAAGCTTTCCTGGCCTTGCGTATCGAGTCTCTCTTGGAAAACACTTTTTC